TAAATTCGAAAGACAGCAGGACGCACTCCGAGCAATGCGCCCGCCCAGCGAGGGCGAGGCGTTGGCGGTTCAAGACCGAGGCACGCCCGGCACTGCGCGGCTGGACGCGCTGGAGAGGCTAATTGGAGAGCTGCAGCGCGCTCTGCAAGCCCTTGAGACGGCGGGAAGGCGGGACGCCTACCGCACGGGGCACGGGACAGGGGCGAGGATCCCCCAACGAGGGCCACCAAACCCGAACAGGCGGGGTAGCGGGCGCCGCTGTTTCTTTTGCAACAGCCCCGACCACTTGGTCCGCGACTGTCCGGCGCGGCACACATGCGCAAATGAGCAGGCGGGGTGGTCCTTCCCACGCGGTCATCAGCAGGCGGGCCTGGAGTGGGCGGAGTGCCCCCGTGGTCCGTCTGAGGAGGCCGGCGGATGGACGCCTTTCTGTCGCGGGTGCAGCCGTGGGGGTCAGCGATGGGCGGGACGCCCGCCTGCCCCGGCGACTGCGGCCGTGGGCATGCCTGCCAGCCCGACAATGGGGGGCCCCACAGCGCACGCGGGTCACTGGCAGCGGGGGGACACACCGGCAGCGGAGTGCGGCCGTGAGTGGCAGTGGAGGGTGGCTGACCCACCTGCACTCTACGGTCCACCCACCGCGGGGCAGCCCACACACACGGGGGGTAGTAGCGCCACACGACAGTGGGAAGGGTGCCCCCACATCTGCGGTCACGCCCGCGGGAACGCCGAGGTCATGTCACGCCAGCCCCCGGGAACCACACCGTCGTTCGTGTGCACGGTACGATCAGAGCCGGCGGGCAGCGAGGCTCCGCCAACATCCCAACCCCCGCTCAATGAGATCGGGCATCACGAGCAGTCGGGGACCGCGAGCTCCGGTTTGGCGAGGCGCTGCGCACAGGCCTGCGAGCGGGCAGTGGCCCTAGTGATGGGCACTGCTCGCGCCGTCTTCCAGTCGGCAGGGTTCAACCGACAACGACACAGTCCCACCCAAGCGACCCCATGTGGGGTCCCCGTCGAGCCCCACGGGTCCGGGACGAGCCGTTGCGGGGGCGGGCAGCCCAGCGGCGGCTACTTCGAGGACGCAGTGACCACGAATGGACAAGAGACGGAGAGCGTGAGCCGCTGCGAGGGCGAGTCGCCCAGCAGCGGCAACGCACGTCAAACAGACAGGGAGACCGTCCTGGCCAGCAGTGAGGTCAACCTGGCCAGCGAAGCACTTCTGGTGGCAGACAGACACGCACAGGCCAGCAGCCGTCCAGGAGTCGACGGCGACGCAGGCGACGCCAGCTCGGTGGAGCGGAGCGACACGCGAAGGGCGCAAGAGGAGAGCCCACCACTCAACCACGCCCGACGGTGTTTCAGCGATCAGACGCCCCCCGAAAGCTCGATGCTGGGAGAGTGGGGCAAGGTCTTAGGACCAGGAGCCCACCATGTTCGGGTGGTGAACGACCTCGTCGGCATGACCACGGCGAGTGGGTTCAGGGCGGCGGTGCCGCCTTCCCTGCGCACCCATGTGATGCAGCTGGCACACGAGCCACCGACGGGCGGGCACCTGGGACGCCGCCGCACCACGCTCAGGGTGAAGCAAAACTTCGTGTGGCCCGGAATGTATAAGGACATCAAGGAGCACTGCAGGACGTGTACCCTCTGCCAGAGGCGGAACAAGATGGTACCGTCGCCAAGAACCCCGACACAGACGGAACTGGTCACACGTCCCCTCGAGCGCGTACCTGGTGGCAGAGTGAGACCACCGATCGCTAAATGGTGTGCGCGGCACCACCCGGATCGCGGCGCGGGACTCGAACCGCCTCCAGCTGCCCTCAGACCACCAGCGCCGTACCGAATGCGGCACGGGTGGCTCAACCGTCGTCTTGCACGGTACCAGGCGGGAGGCTCGTGAGCTGCGGAGATTGTAGACACCGAAGCGTTCGGTGGACCCGATCATTGTGCGCTCGAGAACGTGTTTAAAGTTTCCTTTGTGTGTGTGTACGCGGGTCATGTCGTTGTAGTGATTGTAGTATATGTTTTTGTTAAATGTTGTACATACTTGTAAAATGTGAGTTGTCGTACACCTCTCTTGTGTAGGGGGGGTGTGTGTTGGGGAGCGGCGGCCGTTCGTATCGGCCGCCGGCAGCGTGCGCCGGCGCTGCAGCCTGCAGTCTCGGCCGGCCAGTGACGTAGGTGACGTGGCGGCCGCTGATTGGTCGGCGGGCGCCCAGCCCCCCTATATAATGCGGCGCATCGCCGGCGGCGGCAGTCGCTGAGCGGGTGGCTCGGCGGGTGGAGCTCGGGGCTGAGCGGTTGGCTCGCCAGGAGGAGCCCGGGGATGAGCTGGCGGACAGTCGGTCCGGCGTGCTGGGCAGTCAGGGTGTTAGCGTGCAATGGGCCGATGTGCATAGATCAATACATTAGATAGCTGAGCCGTGGTGTTTACCCGAGAATGCGTGTTCCGAACAGTAACATATTTCTGTCATGGTCAATTCGCGTAGAAATTGAACACCGGGTGATTACCGAGCTATTGTTCTATCAAAATTTGCCGATTCAAACTCGCTCAGGGTTATCGTGTAGGTAAAGGGGGGCCCGCTCAGCAGAATGCGTATGAAATATGGAAAGTTTCTGAAAAATGGGTGGGGGCCCGCACACTAGGGGGCCCGCTTTGGAGGCGATGACCCCCCCGAAACGAAATCCTGGCTGCGCCACTGCCCGTGTACCTGCGGCCGGGGGCGCTGGCTGGCACAGCGATAATCCCCACGACCGAGCGAACACTCCACTGCCATCTCATGGGTGGGAGCCGGCCGAGGAAAACGCTGCCAGAGGTCAGCTTTGATCCAAGGACCTCCCACACCAAACGTGAACGCACTTGCCAACTACGCCACAAGGGTGGTGATACATCAAAATTAAATCACTTGATCTATACCGGATTGTCTAGCTTATAGAGACGCGTTTTTTTCATTTAGCAACTTCTCTCCGTTTGAGTTTATTGTAGCAAATGCTGTTAAAACTCGGTGTTTGACCTTTGGATGACATTTACCTGAATGAAAAGGAACATAAACAAGGACATAAGTAGTGCATACATAGTTTAACCTTGTTTTGGGCTCTTCTTTGCAGTGCTCCCTCTCAATAAGGTCAATCGTTCGAAAGCTAGCCGCATGATACAAGTTGGAAGATAGGCATCTATTTAGTGTTGAACTGCGGTTAACCCTATTAGTGGCAGGCTCCTGGCTACCCCTATTAGTGGCAGGGGGGGGGCTGTTTACGACCCCCCCTTGATATCTCGAGATCTTACTGGCCGATTTTCAAAATTCAAACGGCATTCGATTTCGCTCAACGAGATCTACATTTCTAAAAAAAAAAAAAAAAAATGTCAATAGGGGGGTAGGGGGGGGGGGGTAAAAACGGGCAAATTGCAGATACATTTTAGGCTGTTTATCACGGCCAGGTTTCTGAACCAATCTTAAAGCAACTTTTGCCGATCGATAAGGAATGAACCAGGAATTCACATGGATCCTAAAAATATGCATTTTCAAAAATCATAGGCGGATACAGATCATTGAGATTGGGGGTACACAAAAAGTATAGTAAATAAGGTTTTTGTTGGTACTGTTTCTAAAAAGGGTGGCAATGGTCTTGTTATGTTACAATTTTCTTATGAGAGAACGACTAAAATTGTATTGGTCATGCATAGGCGGTGTCAGGGCACCTATGTTGGGAGGTAAAAAATAACCCCCCTTTTTGGACGCCTGGATCCGCCTATTATAGCAAAAACGTGTCAAAAGAGGATGCACAATAACTTTGTATATGTTATCACATGATACCTTTCATTCACTGTTCGTAAAACTGGTGCAGCATCGTGATCTTCGCCCAAATGACTCGCTTCACGAATAGGACCCCCCAATTCCCAGTGCTCTGGAGTCGCCCCTGGTAAAGTTATGAACTTGAAATTTTCAGGGAATGTGCCCAATTTAGTTTTAGAAAAAGTCAGAAAATTTCAGCATCGTAGCTTCAGCGGTTTCGGAGGTATTCCCGAAAAACCTGAGGGGTGGATAAAAACAACCCCCCCCCCCCCTGCCACTAATAGGGTTAACTGTAGAATGTGATTGCAGGGCTAACTGAGGATAGTATTGACTTTAACCCATTTTATACCAATGCTTTACAGTTCATAGATGCGTAATTGGCATAGAGCCTGGTCATTGGTCCCCAATCAATACGGGTTGATGCATTCCATGGATGCCTTCAGGGACATACATATTGGTGGCCAGCTGTGTATGTGCTTGTTGGTGTCAATGGCAACTAATGACATGTGATTGGAGTCAGTGTGGGTCGGTCAATGGTGAGTGGGAAAGTGGCTTACCCATTTCCCATCCACCTGGACCCTGGACGAGAGATACAACATGAGCTCTGTCGCACGGGCATGGCCCCGTGAAAGTAGATGCATGTGTCTCCTATTGAGTCCAGTGGACTCGAGTCGAGCTATCTCAATGCTAAACAGAGTACCTTGGATACGATCACTAATTAATTGTGATAAATACGCTTTGTCTAAAAGCATATAACATAAAAGCGGTTAAAGGAAATAGTTCACATTTTAACATGGGTTTTTAACTGGAATAGCAGTTCCGTAGCTTGGGCTGAGACGAGCATAAATCAGGAGCTTTTACAGCCCAACGATCACCCTAGGCAAAGATATTCTATTTCTCGTCCCGAAAAAGGTGCCTTGCGTTGAGGTTGTGTGCCTTGCATATATTTGCATCCAGTATGAAACGAGCATGGGTCCCGAAAATTCTTCAGAAACGCTCCAGTAACAAAAGAAAATTATTCAGAAAATTCTTCAGAGGCGCTCCAGTAACAAAAGCATGAGCAGATCGCCCAAATGCCGGTGGCCGCGATAATTTCTCTAGCTTCTGAAGAATTTTGGGGACCCATGCTCTTTTCATACTGGATCGCGTGTGCCTTACAGAAACTGAAAAGTTCTTCCTATATCAAAAATATAGAAAATAATATTTTGTTATAAAAAGGTTTTATTTTCTTTGCTGATCATTTTGAACATAAAAAATCATAAATCCATTGCAAAAAATATAATTTCGTGAAAGTGAACTATTTCCTTTAACTTCCCTTCATTTTTTCTTAAATTCGCATCCGCCATTGCAAAAAGCCCAAATCTCTTCCAACCAGTAGTAACAGCACATTTCCCCACATCAAGCATTCCCCATTCCCCTTACCACATTCCCCTTTAGTATTTTCGCCCTCCTCTTTCAGCTCTCCTTTCTCAGCTCTCCTCGAACAGCGCTATCTCCGTGATGGCCACTATACCGCCGTGTGTCCTGTCCACCTCCACTCTGACACACTGCACTCCACCGGGCACCAGTGTATCCACCGCCTTCACATCCACCACTCCACTCGGGTCGAACTCTCCTAGCAGGCTCCAGTCGGTACACTCTGCCGAGGTGGCGGTGACCCGCACCAGGTCAGCGGCCGCCAGCAGTCGGCCGCGCTTCAGCCGGTACTGCTGCTTCTGACCGGTCACCACGGCCACCCGCCGCAGCCGCCGGCGTCGGGTCAGCGCCACGTCTAGCGTCCCCACCGAGCCGCGCTTGGGCTGCCCGATGAACAGACCGGGAGCGACGCTGTAGGCGTATGGTGCCAGGTGACCGGTCACCACCCGCATGTTGGTCACCACCTCCGCCGGCGGGTTGTCGTGCTCGAACCGCCTGGTCACCTGGTTGGTATGGTAGTCGACAACCTTTTGGGTCTTGTTGGCCAGAGTTGAGCGGCGTCCGATGTGGTTGAACAGCGAGGGCACCCGGCGTGTTGGAAGGCCCGGCGCGTTCACCATCATCGAGATGAAGTGGGACATGATAAAGTCGACTGGCTGCTCCTGAGAAATGGAGAGACATATCGGTGTGAGTAAAATCGACATTTCTCATTGCACAATGCACATTCGCACCACACTACAATTTTTTTCAGATTCGGTAAAAAAATATATAAGTGGGAAAAATGTAAGAACGCTTGTGCCGGTCTTTTCTCGACAGGCAATAATGACATCACCTCTTGGCTCCGAATGCCTTTCACGGTCAGCCCTGACCCGCTACTGCTCTGACCTCGTGGACAGTAAAATCTTATCTCCTCACCTCTCTAAACATGGTCATCAGCTGCACAAGCCGTGGAAGACTGGACGACCGAACCAGGTCGCCGATTATCATATACTGAGCGAACTTCAGACCCACCCAGTCATGGTGCCTGTCGTGAGAAATTGGTGAAACCATAGACTTCAACTGAGCAGTACCGGAGCTTGATTGATCACAAAATATAAAGCGTCAATGCTTCCATTAACATGTGAATCATTTTTATCATCACTCACTTGCATTCAAAACAGGAAACTTTGGATGTTGAGTAAGTGCTTAATAAAGGTAGGTAGAATTGTTATTTCACTTATACGGTACCTGTGCATTTGAATAAATTCCCGAATGGCAGTAATGTATCGGCTTGTAGAAAGGATGTCGTCTTCAAGAATCATGTAGTACTCAGATAGCTTGTAACAATACGAGAATAGAAATGAAAAGTCGATCACCTGGAAACAGCAGCAAATTGGTGATATTTTGTTTCAGCGCACGAAGTTGACGAACAAGTAATAACGCAATTTATTGCTTGGAGAGAGACTACTAGTAGGTCGCAGTAGACAGAAAAGCGCAATGACTGAAGGTACCAATAACATTAATATTGACTGAAAGAAAACTCCTGAGTCTTATTGGAAAACACTGTTTAAGCACGTGCATAAAAGTGGCTAGGAAGTTTCCGTTGCACCCCACGATCCGCAGCCGCGATTGCAGCTGCCCCATGCCTGTTTGGTTCTCCACGCCACCCGCTCCGGCTTGTCGTTGAAGGTGCGCCGTCGACCACTCGTGAAGTTGAGGTCGGGATACAGATCAGGTGGAGGCTGGATGAACTGGATGAACCCATCAGCGACCTCGCCGTGAAACTGGCTGGACAGATGGCTCAGACGGAAGGACCTGAGCAGCGAATAGTCAATAGGCATGGTAGGTATAAAAAGAAACATGATTCTGCATGGCTCTGCGAGGGGCCGTGATGTTTGAACTTCAACTTTTCGCTGAAATGATTGCTGAACTGTAGGCTCACAGTTCATATGATTCTTTATCAACTGAATTAGGTATCCTCGCGGCCTTAGCCCCTAACCTAAGTATTGCTTTATTTTGATCCCATGTTTCTTTTCCGTCATTTACCAGTTCAATTGTTATTTTCCCACCTGAGTGTGTCATTGGTGTCGGCCAGCAGGACCACCACTGTGACGTTGGCTCTCTCAACCGCTGTCGAGCTGTCAATCAGCGAGCGGAGAGTTCGGCTCAGGTAGTGCTCCTTGCGAAACACCTGCCACAGGAACAGTGCAAAGAGACCATAATAGATTTAAAAAAAAACACCTCAAAGGCTGTCAATGCAAATGTTTCAGGTGAATTAGTTGGAAAATGTGAACGAATGATAAACGTCATTTCGTAATTATTCATCGAATGTTTCCTCTACGTAAGACCAACGCCACCTGCAGTTACACTTACCTACTTGCGCAAGCAATAATTAGCTGAAATGATGGCCTATATCAGTACACACCCAGTCGTCTGTGTGACGATTGTTTTGATGCTCAAACACCCTTTATGCCCCCTGGCTTCCCCGCCAGCCCTCTAACCGAGGCAATTCCAATGGTGAGGAAGCCGGTGGCAGCGCGGGGCCGGCCCAGCAGCAGTGTGTTTTTTGGCACGTGCAGGAGCGCCGGCCTTTTCGTCGCCGTCTTTACTGCCACTGCTGTCGCCGTCGTTTCTACAATCGGTGTCCGGTCCAGTGGTCGACACGGCTCGGCGACTGCCCTGCTGGATCCGACCTCTGCCACGGAGCGCAGCCTCGTCCACACGGTACTCCAGTTTGTGGTCCGACTCGATACTGCAGTCAGTTGCACCCGACACGGCGGGTCAGTTAGGGTTGCCAATTGTAGTGGTGCTAAGGAAGAAGTTGATTTCCTGTCAGAGGCAACTGTTAGGTCACAAAGTGCCCCCAAAAAAATTATTTTGCTCGACGTAAGTGTAATTATTTGTCCACTAAAGATGTAGGATAATAAGCACATGATTACTAAAAAAGCTTTGTGTTGTATTACGCTAATTAGATCAGAAATAAGTACGGGTAAATATTTAGTCAAAAAGGAATTAATTGCGCACGATTACGCAAGGGTACTCGTACACTGAAAACATGAGCTGGCAATGCTATTCGATGGAAGGAATAGGGTGGTGCAAGCATTATCTTAAGTAGACAAAACAAATTCGGCAATCCAGGTTTTGCACTATCAAATAAAAATAAAATAACTTTAGTAATACAACTGTAAAACATATAGTGCTTTGCAACGCCTTGCTCTGCACACAGACACACTAAGATTACAGGTCCCTGGCATCTATTTGTTTCTGTCCATCCGTCTGTGTTATTAGTACGTACGTTACACATGCACACGTGCAGAAAAGGTCAGCTGTCCTGGACATTCATTACCTGTGACATCGCGGTCAACAGTGAGCCAGACAACGTTGAGGGTCAGCAGAAGAAGAGAAACCAGAGCGACGCCGGCCAGAAGACGAGGTGACCTCAGCATGACCCCTGGCGCCGCGGCCGGGTCGCTGTCTGGACAGCCCGAGACGACACTGGTGTTTTTTTTTATACAAATATATGTAGGTCGAATCATATTCGAATGTTTGAATAGATGGATTGACAGAACCAGCTACCAAGCTAGGCACACTAAGAAACGCCAAGGTTTGAAAGTACTGAGGGTATTAGACTGTAGTTCGCTAGCTACTCGATATTGCGTGGAGACTCGATTTATTAATTGCATAGTACCTATCCATATTCCATACCCATATGTTGGGTCACCGGGCAAGTGCTATGCTATAGCTATTATGATTGGTATTTTAACCCGCGCACCGACGGGGGGGGCGGATATCCGCCCCCCCCTGAGGTTTTTCGCGAATAGCGGGAAAACCGCGGCGCGTAGCGCCGCGAAATTTGGTATGACTATTCCCTTATCAATTTTACACATGGTGTGCAAGTTTGAACCTCCTACCTTTCAAGGTCAGGTCACCAGGTCACTTTGAATGACCCAACCTCAAGTCACTTTTTTGCAACTTTGTCACCGTGCCAGAGCTACAGTAGATGTCGGAGGCCTTTGAAAGTCGCAGGATATTAATAGGTCATTAGTAGCTACAATTTGTATATCTCGGAATTTTGAAATCGGTGACCTAAGGTCAGGTCAATTTCGCGACCTCCCCATTATAAGTCAATGGGGGAAAAATCAACTCCCTGTTTTTACCACTAAAACGGGTCGGAATGGCCCCATATACCATACATGACTTCATATACGATCAACCTTCACTACCTTGAGGTCTGTTTTGCTGTTGGGCAGCTGTGAGGTCATGTGACGTCATCAAAGGTCACCAAAGGTTTTTGGCCAATAACTCCGTACAGGAACAAGATACAGACGCTTGGATGGTCTCATTGTGTTCAGCTCGTCAAGACGCATCGAATGATATACATGATGACCTCGAGGTCACGTGACCTGAGGTCAACCTTTGACCTTGACCTTTCGAGGTCAACATATATATCATTCGATGCGGATTGACGAGAGGATCACGATGATGCCCTTAGTTTGTTCCTATCTTGACTAGTTCGAAAGTTATTCGAGAAAAACTCTCTCCATATCTAGCGCCGCCATTTTGACTTTTTCGACCCCTGTGACGTCATCTTTGACCTGACCTGAAAATGACCTTAGTAAAAATTGTAGATCTTGACCGTGCGTATCCGATGCCGTTTACCGCTTGTTGCTATCTTGCTTCGTTCTCGAGATCTCAGGGGGGGCGGTCATCCGCCCCCCCCCCCGTCGGTACTAAGTTGGCGCAGACCCCCGTCGGTGCGCGGGTTAAATATTCATATAACCTGAAAACTCTGAATATGAGTGACTTGAATTTCATACATTAGGTCTTCAGGAAAGTGAAAAAATACAAAAAGTGTCTTAGATATTTTTCAACTTACCAGTCTTCACGATGAATAGGTCAATTATATTATATTCTGCTTCGCTATTGAGAAAACGGCAAAGCAAATGTTCAAAAGGTCAATAATTCCACGACCATTATAGAACCTCAAACCAAAGTGCTGCTCAGATCAAAGCCCCAGATGGGGGACAACTGCCGAGCCTTTTGCGAACGCACAAACCAGGCACCCACCATTGCCACGAGCGTGGGCCAACTGAGTCTGGCGTCTGACCATTCTGTCCCACCCCTCCCCTCTCCCCGATCCCACCTTCCCAGACCCCACAGGCGTTCCCACCAACCGCAGGTCGCTGGTATTGAACCAGCGGCGGTCGAACAACCGATGCCAACACCAAATTATGTTCTTCAATCGAGGCATCATATTCACACGAGAAAGGGTGCGATGGCCGACTTAATAAGCTAGAAATGGAAGATAAATCTCCAATGATATCTGAGGATTTGACCTGACCTGACCTAAAATGACGAAACATGTTCGATATGATTTTCGAAGAGTTATCGAATCGCTCATCGCTAGTCGCGACGTGGCCAAGGAGCCAAGGAGCCAAGGAGCCGAGTGTGACCCTATAACGCAATGTCATATTGCTAACACCGCAACCCTCCCAATCAATGCCACATCTCCTCAAGAACCTGACAGGCGCCTCCCACGCCGGACGGGTTCAGTCTGTCACCAACATCAGATACAAATCCGCATCCGTTTCCGTCTGTCGACAAGTGGCGATGCTCTGTCGACATGTTGATGGCAGTGTCATCTTCTGTTGACATCCCCCTTATGGCATTTTATTATAAATCGCCCGATCGAGCTGTCCGTACACCACGGCGTGTCAGACTGCAAATCTGCGCTGCCGTCCGAGCTGAAATACTGGACACCGTTCCGCCGGAGCTAGTTAGGTGTCGTGCGGACAGCGCCTCTCGGCCAATGGAGTCGGGACTGGCACCGTCTGACACCCCACGCCAGCCAATCGGAGAGAGTCCCGCCTGTCAGCGGCAGACGACACAGATCAATGGCGCCCGTTACAACCCGCAACACCACCATTTACCTCGGACGGTGTGAACCCGATATTAATTCAAGATAGCGCTGGCATGTGATGTGGAGGCGCTCGCTCGCCGAGACGTTGCAGCTCCTGCAAGCCTGGCTCGCATGGTCATGAATGGAGCCCGGACATGGGTCATATGTTTCTCACACCGATCTCTGTGTTGTAAAGCAGTGTTTGACAGGCAGTTTGAACCCCGATAGGCTGACTCGGTCAATAGCAAACAGCTCGCATGGAGCTAGCCGAGTCTGCGCCCGGCTAGAAACGCTGTAAACCACCCCTCCCCCCAAAAAAACAGCAACAGCGAGCAACGCCGCTACGATACAATGCCTGATCCTCGTCATCAATTTATTGGCAAAGTTTCAGTCAGTAAAAAATATGAGATTCATTATCGCCCGAAAGAAGTTCTCATCTCCCGCATCGCCCGGCCGCAGTCGGCTGCAGTTGCGTGAGCCAGCCCTTATCAGCTCCAATCGCACATTCTAACATTCAAGAAGAATGTAGCCTTGGTCGCCTAAGACGCCCAAGCCCCGGGTCATGCAATACGACCGCGCATCTTAGAGTGATGGCACAGAAACAGAGCGATCCTGTGATGTCACAGATATACAGAACGATCTCGTGACGTCACACAAACACAAAGTGACACGGCTAAGGCACTGAGCCCATCGGCCCGTTCTAGAAAGACGCCGAGATATGTGTGACCGTTGACGCAGGCTGTTCTGTGTCGAGTCGCACCCAGCCGATCCAGGAAGAGTACGGAGCTCGCTAAATGTCTGACATATATGGACCTGTCTGAGGAGTTGTATGAGAGCGGGCCATTTTTACTGAGTGGCCTGATGTAGCAATGCTTGGCCAAGTGGATTACGTGCGCTGTGTGCTAGAGACGCCCAGCCCATTTCCCTGTACCGCCGACAAGCGATTTAAGCCGCTGACTGTAATCTAACGGTGGTGACAGAAACGCTTAGAATGCAGTTCCCATGAATTTAGGAAACATAATTGGTTGTGTCATTTAAGCACGGCTAGATATTTTTTACAGTTAATGGTGTATGCTGGTGCATACCTCATCGCAGTAGTGCTCACAGCAGATAAAACATAAGATGTAGGTAGGATGACAGAGCAAAACCGAACACTAGGTAGAGTACGTAGATGGATAGGGTCCATTTTCATTTGAGTTTATTCTATGACCAGAAAACATCAAAAGATTTTCTCCTTTGGGACATATCCACCAAATTATGGATCCTACGTCCAGTCATGTCAATTGTTTATTGTTGTCTTTTGTGATCTGGATGAGGTTTCATTAGGATAACTTTTCCCGGAATTAATTGCGGGATAGCTCTTTGTCTCGTTTTGATAGAAGGACTTGGTCAGGCAAGAGTTTATCTCGACATTATTATTTTCTAAGCCACATGATAATTGTTTAACCCGCGCACCGACGGGGGGGCGGATATCCGCCCCCTTGAGGTTTTTCACGAATAGCGGGAAAACCGCGGCGCGTAGCGCCGCGAAATTTGGTATGACTATTCCCTCATCAATTTTACACATGGTGTGCAGGTTTGAACCTCCTACCTTTTAAGGTCAGGTCACCAGGTCACTTTGAATGACCCAACCTCAAGTCACTTTTTTGCAATTTTGTCACCGTGCCAGAGCTACAGTAGATGTCGGAGACCTTTGAAAGTCGCAGGATGTTATTAGGTCATTAGTAGCTACAATTTGTATATCTCGGAATTTTGATATCGGTGACCTAAGGTCAGGTCAATTTCGCGACCTCCCTATAAGTCAATGGGGGAAAATCAACTCCCTATTTTTACCACTAAAACGGGTCGGAATGGCCCCATATACCATACATGACTTTATATACGATCAACCTTCACTACCCTGAGGTCTGTTTTGCTGTTGGGCAGCTGTGAGGTCATGTGACGTCATCAAAGGTCACCAAAGGTTTTTGGCTAATAAATCCGTACAGGAACAAGATACAGCCGCGTGGATGGTCTCATTGTGTTCAGCTCGTCAAGACGCATCGAGTGATATCCATGATGACCTCGAGGTCACGTGACCTGAGGTCAACCTTTGACCTTGACCTTTCGAGGTCAACATATATATCATTCGATGCGGATTGACGAGAGGATCACGATGATGCCCTTAGTTTGTTCCTATCTTGACTAGTTCGAAAGTTATTCGAGAAAAACTCTCTCAATATCTAGCGCCGCCATTTTGACTTTTTCGACCCCTGTGACGTCATCTTTGACCTGACCTGAAAATGACCTGAGTAAAAATTGTAGATCTTGACCGTGCGTATCCGATGCCGTTTACCGCTTGTCGCTATCTTGCTTCGTTCTCGAGATCTCAGGGGGGGGCGGTCATCCGCCCCCCCCCCCCCCCCGTCGGTGCGAAGTTGGCGCAGACCCCCGTCGGTGCGCGGGTTAAGCAGAATAAATGTAGAATTCGAGATGGGATTGCTCAAATACATCTTATGTGACTCAATGGGTAAAGGTTATCCAGTGTCACCCAAGGTCACTTAAGTTCATGGTTAATCTTGACATG